GATCACCATGGGTACGGAGCGTCGGGGGAGGACATGGGTGGGGTGGCCAAGGCGGGAGCTCAGTGGGCCTTGGACACGGCAGGGCCAGTTTTTTACCGGCTCCGTGTTGCCGTTTGTTTGCGGGTTCCGACGCCGTTTTTTGGCCGGTTCCGTCGCCGTTTATTTGCTGGCTCCAGCTGCTGCTCCAATCCTGGAGCCGTTTTTGTTTCCGTTTCCGGTCGTCTTTTTTTGCCGCTTCCATTTTCAAGAGACATTTTTGTCGGAAACGGTGGAAAAAAAGGCTCTGCCGTTTTCGGGGCCCTTTTCAGGGCAAGAGGTGTAGGGGGGGGAGGGGGGGGCGAAATCTGCAGCGTGCTGCTGATGTCGGCCCCGTCGCTGGGTTCGGTGCCTGGTACCAGCGGCACGAAGCCAATACGCCCCCCCCCTCCCCTTGCTTTGCCAGTCCCCCCCCTCCTTTCGCCCACCCTGGGGGCCGAAAACGCAGAAGAACCCGCCTTCGAGATGTTTTGTTTTGCTGCGACGCCCAGAGCTGAGGGGCTCGGGAGCGAAAGAAGGGCGCAAACGTGTATGATGTCACGCTGGTTTCGAGAGTACGCATGGCGCGAACGGCCGAATCCCGAGGCGGACACTCGCGGACTGGGGCATCGCATTCGTGTGCGTGGCTGGGCGCGCGCGTCCTCGTGCGGGCTCCCCAGGGGGCCCAGACAGCTGAGGATGGGATGTTGTTCAGCGCGCGGCCCCAGCAGTCCCGACCCCTTCCCCTCCTCGTCGTCCTCCTCCTCCTCCTCCTCCTTCTCCTCCTCCCTCCTCCTCCTCCTCCTCCTCCTCCTCCTCCTCCTCCTCCTCCTCCCTCCTCCTCCTCCTCCCTCCTCCTCCTCCTCCTCCTCCTCCTCCTCCTCCTCCTCCTCCTCAGGGCAGATGTTTCGCCCTGGAGGTACTGCGGATGGCCCCAGGACCCGAACGTGGGCCCCAGGGCCAGAGGCCAAAAGATCGAGGAAAATGAGCGCATGGAGCAACAAAAAAAACCATTGTGGTCGCAAAGAGTCTCCCGGTGGGGGCTGGAGGTCTCGATGCCTCGAGGTCCCGATGTCTCGGTATCGGGGGCGGTGCCAGGCGGGGATTCGATGTCAGGGGTAGTGCCGAGCGGGGGCTGGATGCCTCAGTATCTCGATACTGGGGGCGGAAGCGGAGACTGGATGCCTCAATATCTCGATGTCGCGGGTGGGAGCGTGTTTCGCGATCTCACGACCCAGCGATGTCCACCACGTTGTCAAATGTATGCGCTGATCGAGTCATCGAGATATCGAGACGTTTTGCAGAATCTCCAGTTTGTCATACGAAGAACCCGCACGGCAAGGATGGGGAACCTTCCCCAATGGTGCCCTTGCAGCTTGCACCCTGCCTCCTCGGCCCATCCCTGGCGACCCTCGCCGGCCAGCCTCGTTCGAGAAACGTTCACATGGGCCTCCGAGGCCCTGGCATCCTTGCCGCGCACCCTTCTGGTACGGGTGGACTGGTTTGCCGGAGATCGGGGGAGCGCGCAGCGAACGGACGGGGCGCCCGCACCTGGTGCACTGACGGCGGCCGCCTGGGCGCACGCCGGCACCACGTTTGCGAGGGCGGCCGCACGGCCCCGCGCAGGATGCGGCCAGCGCTGGTATGGCCTCGGCGGAGCGCCAGCTTGCGGCGCTCGGGCGTCGGGAAATGGCGCGGCGCGCTGGAGGGAGGGCCCCTCACTTTCAGGCGTAAGCCGCGCATGTCCCTCTTCAGGAAGAATGCTCAAGAGTGGTAGCAACATCAGTTTGGGGACGATGTGTCGCGCTTGGTTGACACTGTTTGGATATTTGTTGGCTATGGTTCACAGTTCTTCCAAGATCCGCCTGTCGTAGGACATGCCCGACCTAATTCCGGGGTGGGGTCCGAGTGGATGGCCCGCGCGCATCTCCTGGATCGGCGCTGGACCCCCCCCCCTTCAACGCGCTCGGTGCGCGCCGCTCCAAGAAGACCGCGCAGACCGCCCAAAGCTCAGGGCTCCTGCCGCGCCAGGCGTTCCAAGCAGTGCCTGGACTTCGAGGATCGAGGTCGAGGGAGCTGTCATCCCTTCCTCGGCGGAAGCTGGCGTGAGGGTGGGGTGACGGCCTCTCCGCCAGTTCCTGCACGCGCACCCGTCGGTGGGCCCTCCGTTCGGAATACAGGATTTCGAACGCGCCGACTCTGGCAGGTTTGCTCTCGGGCCCCTCACGAAGCGTCCTTTCCTGGAGGTTCCTGGGCGCAGCGGCTGAAAGGAAGTACAAGGAGGCCGCCTCCGCCAGCGGAAGGCGGCGGAAGCTCGGCGGAAGCTCTCCAAAAGGTGCCAGCATTTCTGGGGCTTCAGGGCGCGGAGAGGGTGTGCGGCTCAAGGTCCGATGGGTTTGTTGTCTGCTGGCGGTGTTGCCGTTTCGGGGGCAGCGCCAGACCTGAGGGAAGTCCCTCGATCCTGGGGGGGAGGAGGGTCAGACGA